GAGGACAGTAAGGTAAAGAAAGAAAAGCAAACGTGAAAATAAAAAGCCACAACCACAAGAAGACGACAATATAAAGAAAGCACAATTAAGTATTATAATTAAAAGAAATTCACTACATCCGACGCCATCTCATCCTTTACAAAGGGAAAATAGGATGAGATGGTAAGAGCAAAAAGAAATAAAAGTAAGAACAAAAGGAAAAAATACATAACATAATCTAAGCCCGCTGGGAGTCGGCCGACGACTTCTCGGCGGCATCTTCGCCCCCATCGCCAATTGGTTCGGGCCGATCACCTCCCTCCTCTACAATCGGCTCCGCGTTAGGCCGATCGACTTCAATCTTCTTGTTGAACGGCTCATCCTCAAAGTTCGTGCCACTCGGCTCGACCAATTCAACAGGGCCGACCAGAGGAAGTGGTGGAACCTCGAGCTGAGAAGATAGCCCGGCCGAGTGGATGGCCTTAGCCGCCAGGCCGCTCCACCAAGCATGGCCAGGAGGGAGGGCAACTTCCCGAAAACCCTCGGGATCGGGGAGAGTTAGCTTCACGGCGTCGCGATTGATCTTGCCCGAAAAATCGGGCTTGGTCACGGCCTGCTCCCATGTGTCGCAGGCAAAGTCAAAATACTCGATGGCCGTAGGAACGAGCTCGTCGAGAAAATCCGAGGAAGAGCAGAATCCCTCGACCACAGCCTTGCGGTAGTGCTCGAGAAAAACCGCTCCCGCGGCAGATTTCAAGAAAGTCCGTCGACCTTCCTCTATCCCGTTCTCCCGCTCGGCCAAGATCTCATCACTCGCCTTGGCCAAGTCGACCCTCAGCCGCTCAGCCATGCGGATAGCCACCTCCTTGTCGGAACGGAGCTTGGTGATGACGGCGTTAGCAGCCTCAAGCTCCTCCTCCTTGGCCGCAAGTTTGGCACACTTGGCCGCATAATTCTCCCTCAAGACTTTGATGTTGTTCTCAGGAGAGGTCGCCTCCTCAATCATAGTCGGGAGAATGCAGGAAAGAAGCTAACACAAAAAAGAGAAGAGAACAAACAGATAAAGCGGCAATTCGACTGGAAATAAGATAAGGAAGAAAAGCACACAAAGATTAAATTTACCCGAGGAATGAGCCGAGCCGCATAACGGGCCCGAAGGCAGGGATCTCCATCAGTCCGGACTTGGTCGTCCTCAGGAATAATGGAATGAAGATAGTTGAGGATCTGGAGGGAGTCGGGGTTGTCATAAAGCCGGGACGGTTGTTGGAGGGTTACCGACTGCACTCTCACAGGCGACGGCTGCCCCACATTCCCTCCAGTCGGGGGCGGAACCGTGTCGACCTCAGCTGTCGACCCCTTCCCCTTTTGGCGCTTCGAAGAGTCGGAGACCAGCGCCTTATCCCTCTGATCGTGAGACTTTTGTGGGAAGAAGGACCCGACGACTTGGCAGGGACAGAGGCGGAGGGAAGAACAACTTTAGCTTTCTTAGCCGCAGTCGTCTCGACCACCGCCGGTGAAGCGGCAGAACCCGAGCCACCCCCGAGCTCTTGGACAACCGATTTTTGGGCCGTTTCTCCCTTCTTCTTCTCGAAGCAAGCCAACGCTTTTACTAAAAAAAAAAACAAACAAAAACAACAAAACAATCAAGTACGAATAAGCACACCAGCCTTATCGCTTTTCAAATAAACGCAGAAACGCGAGACCAAACGACTGGTAAGTAAGAAACGACAAGCGAAAAAGCTTACAAGGGTCGACAAGACGAGGAGCATTTTTATCAACGCAAATACCGACATGATTAAGTAAAGAAGTATCTTTGGTCAGTTGACGAGCGCTCCATACATGTTGGTTTAACTCTTCTAGAATATCAGCGAACTGTGAAGAGTCGGGACGCTTACGCTGCTTGGTCTTATGTCTAATCCACTCATTCGAAAAAGGATATTGGCCAGGAGCAGGTCGAATGAAGAAGTATTTCTTTTTCCATTCAGTAATGTTGGAAGAAAGGTCGTCAAGAAACGTGACACCTACTCGACGGCCTAGACAATGGACGTCCTTGCTAAACCTATACCCGTAACAGTAAAGGAAAAACTCGGGCAAAAATTACCTAAAACTATGCGGGTAACGACTATGAAGGCTACCATTATTCGAATAGAATTAGGGGTGAACTGGTTTATTGGTATATCGAAAAGATTACTTAACGATTGCAGTTCAGGTTGAATCGGGAAACGTAGGCCCGACATTATTTGGTCCACGAAAAAAGTAAAACAACCCTTGGGAGGGTGGCGAAAGTCATCTTCGGGCTTAGGAGCGACTACGGCCCAGTCCGCGGGAAGGCCGCTGAACTCCCTGAAGCCATCGATTTCGGCTGCAGGAGCATAAAGAAAACGATAGTAAGAACTTACCATGAACACGCTATAGTTGCAGACTCGATTAAGGAAAGTCGCTATAAAGGAGCAAGGCGGGCCGCATACAGGGGTGTTCTAAAAAATCTAGCGGAAAATACCTCGAGAAGCCAAGTCGGGGTAGGAAGTTTCAAGGGTGTTGAGAACTTCGGGATCCTCACAAAGGGTGCCCGAAAGTAGCGCCTGGTTATACACAGCCCAGTCGATGCCAAAAGGTGAGGCGGGCGAAGGGACAAAATCCTCCGGCTCGACGTTCAGATGAGAATATGGCTCGGCATCGTTCAGATGAACAGAGTCCGAATCCGAGTAGTTATCGATCTCACGGGCAAGAGAACCGGAGATGGGGTCAGAAACAGGGTCGAGGTCGGAATCTAAGAAGATAAAGAATGGCAATCAAGAAAAGTTGTCAGAAATCGCGATTCGATTCAAAAGAAAAGGGGTCAACAAAATAACCAGGATGACATGGAAAGTGTCCCGACAACGGGAAGAAGGGAGAAGAAACGGGAAAAATCTTCCCCGTGACAATTCGACTCGACAAGGGAAGATCGAGACGAGAAAGGAAAAAAGCCGATCCCTCACAACAAAACGACTAACAGAGAAAAACACTTGGAGGAAATACAAAACCTACAATCTAAGATCTAAACGGAAAAATCGCCAGAAAACTCACACGCAATTCCCAGAAAATGAAAGATGTTCTTATTTCCAGACAAATTACCCAGAAAAATAAAAAAGTACTCTTATCTTGAACATATGAAAACAAGTCGAACAGGCAAAGGAAACTTACTCATACTCATGATGCTTGCCGGAAAGTCTTGAGAATTCGGAAAAGGGTGCCGGAGAATAGGAGCGCCGGAAAGCTGTGATTGCCGAAGGAAAACAGAAGATTTGAGAAGGATGAGTGCGGAAAGTAGGGACGAGAAAAGATGGGGACTACTTATAGAGAAGGCAAAGAAACCCCAGCCCTCGGATTGAAGTCATTTCCAACGGCCAAGATGAGGCACAGAATACGAAGCGGTGGAGAGAGAGTGTTATCTTTTGAATTTTGAAATTTAAAAAGATTCAGACTTATCTAATCAAATTAAAATTCGCGTAAGCGAGTCGTGGTACAAGTCGGGGTAACGAGTGGATGCAACCCGAGGAAGCAACTGGTGATGGGACACAAAAAGATCCGAGGAAAACATCCCGTCGGCAAAATCTACTCGTAAGCTCGGAGTCGCTTCGAGTAATTTTGGGGGGGACTAGATGATATAGCCATACTATCGTGCAACGGTTCAGTAACCGTGACATTGCCACAATCGGCTCATAACGGTTCATATCATCTAGGTTCGAAACTGCCAAGTCGATTACAACACCGTCGACTCCGCCAGTAGGGTCCCACGGTATTCAATCAAGAAGCCTGGTTCTCGAAGGAGTCGACGTACGCCTGTCGACTAAAATGAGTCGACTTCTGCAAGACAGCGATCAGACGTATTAGGGTCCATTAACGGTAGGACGCGATCCAGTCGACTCGACTCAATATCTCAAGTCGACTGGAGGAGTCTTGCAGTTCGTGGTTCCCGATAGCGTTGACACACCTCAGCATGTTGAAGAAGAGTTAAGGATAAGAAGGAAGTTAAGGAAGGATCTAGATGCTGACTAGGAAGTAGGCAGAATATGAACCGACCGGGGTATTCTGGACATTTCCATTAAGTCGGCCGGGGCACTTTGGGGACTTCAGGTAAATGTTGTACTCCTATACAAAGGACTGAGGTAATCCCAAAACCCTAACTCCCATTCATTCCATATCCTTTTCATTACTGCTGCTGCTCTGATAGCAACTATCATCATCTCTCTCATATACTGACTTGAGCGTCGGAGGCTCTACGCCGGAAACCCCTCCGGCGTTGAGTTCTTGCAGGTGTTCTTGCGGCTCAACAACAACGGTTCGATCGCCATCACATCAGATCTAAGCTCATCCGTACTGGTTCGTCCCAGATCCGGACGTTTTCTCATTGGACCGTTCCAGATCTGAGAGGAAACCCATCAATATATATTTTTACAGATTGATCAGTAGCAGCACTTACGTATTCAGACTATCAGTTCAGGTGGGAACTCAGATCTCAGTTATAAGATATTTCGACTCTAGTTTCTCGGGTTAATTTGCGACTCGTCAAGAAATTTGTGCACTTAATTAGTCAGTCGGTTAATCTCTTATGTTATTTAATCATGTTAAACATTTCAATGTTCAGATGCCTCCTCGTAGAGATCCAGATCACCAGGAGCTCCCACAAGCCACAATAGTCGCACATTTTCGCGACTATCAGCCATAAAAATTTTCCGGCCAAGGAGATCCTCGTATAGTAGACGAATGGGTTCAGGGTCTCGAAATGATTTTTGAGGTCATGGACTGTCCTGATCGTTACCGCGTGTTATGCGCACAAATCCAGCTGACCGGTGATGCCCGACTCTGGTGGAATGCCTATTGGAGTATGCATCCCGGTGAAAAAGAAGGTTGTACGTGGGATCGATTCAAGGAGTTGATCCGTGAGAAGTACTATCCCTTGTATTACCGAGCAGAGATGGAGCGCCAGTTCCTGGCACTCAGACAGGGTACTCGTTTTGTTGACGAGTACGAGAGAGAGTTTACCCGACTCGGAGCCTTTGTACCCGATCTTGTGAGTACGGAGGCGAAGAGAGCTCATCGTTTTACTGACGGACTTCTCCCAGCAGTCCGTCACAACATCGTAGGTCACGGCGTCCAGACCTACGCCCGTACAGTCGCCATTGCCCAAGAAGTAGATGCCAGTATCCAGAAGCTATCTCGACACCAGCCCAGTCAATTGCTCAGCCACCAGTCCAGCCCAACGTTGCCCAGCCATCAAAGAATCAGAAGAAGAGGAAGTTCAGAACGACTCTTGACGAACGGAGGACTCGCCCCAGACAGAGACCAACTTGCCCGACATGTGGAAAACGTCACCGTGGAGAATGCCTTGTGGGCCAGAACATTTGTTTCTTTTGTCGCCAGCCAGGCCATATCAGCCCCAACTGCCCAGAACGACTGCAACAACAACCGCAACAACGACAGCCACCGCAACAACCTCAACAGCAGTAGCCCAGACAACAGCCACCGCGACCCCAACAACATCCACGCGGCAGAAAGCAGGCCCGTGTTTTTGCAGTTGACCAGAGGGAGGCCGACCAACACCCAGGTACCATGTCTGGGATGATTATTCTTAATGATGTGCCTGTTTATGCCTTATTTGACACCGGAGCGACCCATTCCTTTATATCACGCCGATGTCTCGAAGCCATTGGGGTTCGTTCTATTACTGTTGTCGATCCTCTCGAGGTGAGTTTAGCCTCGGGACGAAAGATAGTGACTGACGTTAGAGCCACCGATCTCAGCCTTTCCATCGGCGGCCGTATTTTGACTACTGATGCTTATGTTATCGAGATGAGGGATTTTGACCTCATACTTGGTATGGATTGGCTAACACGTTTTCACGCAGATATCCAATGTCACGACCGGGAGATTACTCTTTATCTTCTGGGAGATGATCAGATTACTTATTACGGCTCTAGGACTCGTACTGTGCCCCATGTTATTTCTATGGCGAAAGCCAGAAAGATTCTTCGACGGGGTGATTGCCAGGGTTACTTTGTGAGCCTCGTTGGAGATGAGCCAAAGGCACGTTCACCTCATGACATTCCCATTGTTCGTGAGTTCGTGGACATGTTCCCAGACCAGCTTTCGGGTGGTTCACCTAGCCGACAGGTGGAATTTTCTATCGATCTTATCCCTGGAGCCGGACCCGTTTCTAAGGCGCCGTATAGAATGGCACCTAAAGAATTGCAAGAATTAAAGACCCAAATTCAAGAGTTGCTGAATCTCGGTTTTATTCGACCGAGCGTTTATCCTTGGGGAGCACCCGTTCTCTTTGTCAAGAAGAAGGACGGATCCATGCGTATGTGTATCGACTACCAGGATCTTAACCGATTTACGATTAAGAATAAATATCCGCTTCCCAGGATCGATGATTTATTTGATCAGTTGCGGGGTGCCTGCGTGTTTTCCAAGATTGATTTGCGTTCAGGCTACCATCAGCTGAAAATCAAGGAGTCAGACATACCTAAGACAACGTTTCGTACGAGATACGGTCACTTCGAGTTCGTGGTTATGCCGTTTGGCCTCAGTAATGCCCTGGTAGTATTCATGGACTTGATGAACCGTGTATTTCATCCTTTTCTTGATCAGTTCGTCATTGTATTCATCAACGATATTCTTATTTATTCCAAGAGCCAGAAGGAGCACGAGGAGCATCTGAGGGCCGTTCTTTCGACCCTTAGACGTGAAAAGTTATATGCGAAGTTCTCCAAGTGCGAATTTTAGCTTTAGCGAGTGGCCTTTCTTGGCCACATTATTACTCAAGCAGGTATTAAAGTTTATCCTTCCAAAATTGCCGCAGTCCAGAACTGGTCAGCACCGAAGAATCTATCCGAGGTTCGTAGTTTCCTCGGTCTTGCAGGTTATTATCGCAGATTTATCGAGGGGTTCTTGAAAATTTCCCTCCCTTTGTATCTGCTGACGAGGAAGTCTGTGAAGTTTGAATGCACTGACCGTTGTGAGTCGAGTTTTCAGGAGCTGAAAAGGAGGCTAACGACGGCACCGGTGTTGATTATTCCAGATCCTTCTCGGAGTTTCACCATTTACAGTGATGCTTCAAGGCAGGGTTTGGAATGCGTACTCATGCAGGATGGCCAGGTCGTTGCTTATGCTTCACGCCAGCTAAAGACACACGAACAGAACTATCCATGTAACACCCCACTTTGATTTTAAAGAAATTTCGGACTTTCAAAAAAATCAGAACAAATAATTTTTTGAATTCATTTTCGAAATCAAGGGCATTAACCAACACATTTTACTTAGTCCAAGTCTTATCTGGACCCAAGGGGATTCATAAACCCGATTTTCACAAGGTTTTCATTAACCTGATTCGCACCTCAACATAATATCCAATATGAACAATTGAAACCTCATAAATCAAACACCATGATTATTGAAGGTTCATAAAAGGGATTTCCAATATATTCCCGAACATCAAAACATAACATAGTTCGAAAACAGTTTTCACATGTCCAAAACATAGAAAGGTTCATAACGACCATATTATTAAAGCGGAAGCAAAACGAAACAATAAATAGACCACCACTCGTCTTTTGTCCCGTCATCCGGCCACTTCTTAACCTGCATCCATGAAGAGCAGGTGGGAATGAGCACAAATGATAAAGTAGTGCTCACTACTATGCACATAATAACATGTAAAGATGGTATGGTCGCAGCATGAATATAAATCAATCATCATCATGTCTCATCTCCTAGTCACAATAATAACTCACTCATGTGCACATCTATCATTAGCCATGGAAAGAGGATGCATAAACCCTAACGACGGGAGTGCGTGCCACTGTAACGGACACGGCCTTTCATTAGGTCTTAAGGAGACTTGCCTCGCAAGGGCAACCGTACCGTAACTCGACGGGGACAACCGTACCGACGGCCGTAACAACTCACATCGATAGGCTACATGGTTCACATTCATACATTGGTCATACCAACTAAACATTAAACAACACGTATGGCATAGACAATTTTATAAGTAAAACCCACCTGGATGATAACAAGCGAAAGCACAACAATAACGGGTAAGCGGTGAGCTCGGCTCGTCAAGTACCTACATTTATTAAAATAGTCCTATAAATGACTATTCAACCCATGACTAACTAATCATAATAATCACTTAGTCTAATTATGCTCACATAAGCATTTTATCAAGGAAATATCATTTTCTAAAGTACCACATACATTTTTCAAAATTTAACCCGGGCAGCATTTTTAAAATCAACATAACTTTCAGTACATAACTCGGATGAATATGATTCAAGTTGCACTGTAATCCTAAGATATGCATCTACAATTCTTACGAAGACATTAAAAGTAAATAAGGTCGTTTACTAGGAAATAAATCATCAAACATTCAAAACTGAGTAGCAGTCAAAAGTCGAGAACTTGTAACCGACCAGACTTCAGTATTTACTAGCTAACTAGAGATACAGACACGTTCTTAATGAAATTCAAAAACCATGTGATAGCTAACTAAAATATCTACAACTTTACGGAAGACCACATTTGCAAATAATCACATTATAGGACTCATTTCAGAATATACATTTTAAGTATATACACAGCCACTGCATCAAAAATTCTGGACATAAACCCAACTTATAAAAATTATATAAAATCAACTAAAACTCTAAATTGCATGATTTAAACTTCTTTTGAAAGCTTATAACATGTACTACAAGTTTCATGATGATTATAATTTCATATAGCCGCATTAGGATCAAAAACAGCCTAACATCTTAATCACCAAACCTGCCCGGATATATAAAAACAGCATGCATGTACAACTTCAAAAATTCATAACAAATTCAATCAATTCTAAATGACTTGATTCAAAAACTAACAGATCTCTAACTTGATTAGCTACAATCTTTTAGAAGACAATATTGACAAATAATAATATCATCGATGATTTTAAACACAAAACATACGGTTTATGAAATCTGACAGGAATAAGGTCATGCTACAAACAACACCTCAGTAAATTAACTTCAACTAATGTTACAGAGCTCATATCAACATGTATCTTACCTCATTAGAAATCTAAGAAAGATATCTACAACTTTTATGATGGTCACTTTTTCAGTTGAGCATTTTAAGACATGATAAACAGATAAAACATTAAGTGAACACAAGCTGCCGGGATTTTATAAAAACTGATTGCGCGACGATGTTTCGAAAATCATAACTTAATCGATATAAATCAGTTTCGTGAAATTCCAAAGGCTAGAGAAAGCTAATGAAACGAACTACATTTTATATGAAGGACACATTTTCAGAAAACAAATTCTTGAAGTCATAACCGAGGAACCTTACCTCCTTCAAGAAAACAAAAATGTGGAGAAATGAAAGAGGTGTTTCTCGGTTGTGATGTTTTCGGCCTTGCTTGAACTTTATGATGTCGTTGTATAGATGAATGAGAAGTGGTTGAATGAAGTTATCTTGCTGTTAGTACAAAGGGTGAAAACTTAAAACTCAAGAACAACTCTCGCAAGCACTCGGTAACCATGAACTTCACTCTCGGGATGGTGTGTGTTTGACCTCAGCTTCTCCTATTTCTTAGTATTGGGAGAGAAGTTGGGAGATTATTTTCTAAGTCTTTATGCTGATAATAAGTAGAGAAAAACGTGAAAGGAGCTGGTGTATAGCCTAATGGTGCACATGCTAATGTTCAAACTATTTGAATCATGAAGAAGACAATTGTATACACCTCATTGTCTCACATGGTGATCTTGGTGGAGAATCTCTTGTACTAACCTCACATGGCCAAGTATACAAGAGTTGACAAAAGTTTAATCATGCACATGGATAAATAGACAAGGTCTTACTACATAGATCTTAAATAACTCATGCACATGCTAGACTACTTAATATATATAATGATAATTGAACTTAACTTTGCTAAAGATGCCTTATGGCTAGATTAATACGAATGAACACTTGATAATTTTCATCATACATGGCTCAGGGATTGAAGGAGGATAAAAGAGGAAAAATAATTTTACGGAACCGAAATCAGACTTAAAATACAACTATAACCAAAAATTTGAAGAATTTGACTAAAATATTTTTTTTTTCTTCTAATTCGGTTTTATGTTAAAAAAATAGCTGAAAAATATTAATTTATTAAGAGCTATCTTGGAACATGCTATGAAAATGAAAATAATAAAACTTACGGAACCAAATTCGGACTTAAAACGAATGGTTACCTTAAAACCGAAAATTTGACTAAAATTTGATTTTAACTCTCTTGATTCGGTTTTTGTTGCTAAAAATACTATT